TTGATTACAACTAGTTAAGTTAGTGTGTAATTAAAAATTATCGGATATAAATATATTTATTTTCAAATGATATTTTTAAAGTATAATTATTATTTTTTTTAACTATAATTGTAGGATAATTTATTTTCAACAAAAAAAAAACAATTAACTAATTTTTATATTTAATTTTTTTTTTAAATTATAAATTAGAGCCCAAGTTTGGTATACTACCCATTCCTCTACCGCTTCCACTGCCATTAAAGTAAGTTTTTATTTAATTATTTTAGTTTAAATAAAAATAAAATATTATTTTCAAAAATATTTTACTAAACTAATAATAACTTTAAAATATGTATATAAATTTAACAACAGTTTTTAAAAAATTTGCAATTTTTTAATAAAAATGCTAATATGTTTTGTTTGTGTTTAAAGTTATAAAACATATAATAATTTTATGTATTTATATTTATATTATAATAATATAATAATATTTATTATGCATGTGTTGTTGTTATTGTGTTTTTTTTGTGTTTTTAGTTAACACATAATTTCAATCTATTTATATAAATATAAATTTATATAGAAATCTTCAAAAACAACAAAAAATGCCATAATTTTAATAATAATAATAATAATAATTATTATTATTATTTCAATTACAAAAATAAACTAATATAATGTATTATTAAGTAATAGACTACTCAATAGAAAAAATTTATTTTCTCCCCTAAAAAAATAAAGTTTTAATTTCTAAATATATATTTATATATAAATATATAAATGTTTCGGAAATATTTATTTAGAGTAAAAGTTTTTTTAATGTTTTGTTTTTTTGATTTCCATACATATTTTTTTTGCTACTTATACTATAATTATTTTATCAAATATATTGTATATATATATATATATATATATTAATATATACTAATAATAATAATTATTATTATTATCTAAACTGTATATATATATATATATGTTAATGCAATTTAAAATAAGTAAAACTGTTATTTATATATATATATTATGTATGTTTAGTTAGTTGTTTAAGAGGGGGGGGGGAACTGATATTTTTTGGTATATATATATACGAAAAAAAATTTTTCTATACTATATATATATACAGTATATAAATAATATTTTTCATCCGCGAGACTCTCAGACCTACATTTAAGAGCCCAAACCAAATGTAGAGCACATTAAATGTATTTAATAATAATAATAATAATAATAAAAATACGGCTATAAATAGTTAGTTGTCTTTTTTTAAAACAAAAAAACCAAATTATATAAATATATACAATATATATATATATATATATTCATTTAGATACTTGTATACATGTATAATATAATTTACTAATTTATTTTCATTCAATAAACTCTCGATTATATCTTTTTAAGTTTCTCTCTCTCTCTCTCTCTCTCTCTCTCTCTCTCTCTCTCTCTCTCTCTCTCTCTCTCTCTCTCTCTCTCTCTCTCTCTCTCTCTCTCTCTCTCTCTAAATACTATATATAGTATTTAAAATAAAAAAAGATATGTGTATTAATTTTTGGGGCACACGCTTAAAGATATATATATATAATATATTATAACTATTAATATACTTAATATATTTAGGCAATATATATATATAATTCCCACTAATTTTTAGGAATTTATTTATTTTAAGTTTATTTTCTATTTATTTTTTATATGCATATTAGGAAATTTAATTTATTAAGTTAGATTATAAATATCATATTATATGTAGTTTTATATCTAAAAAAAACAATTTTAGCCTAAATATTTTTTTAAAATATTTTTTTTTTAATTTTATATAATATAATTTTTTTCGCTAATCATTTATTATTTTTTTATAAGTAATTAAAGCTCGAGGGCTACTCTCATATATATATATATATATATATTGCTATGCGGGGGTATATACTGTATATCTATCTATCTATTTATTTATAAATGTTATAATTTTTTTTGAAAAAATATATTTATATTTGTATAATTAAATAGATTTTTTTGAAAAATTTATTTTTATATTTTTTTCTCTAATTTATACAAATTAAATATAAAAAAAAATTAGTATTTAATACGCTTTATTTGGTTAAATAGTTTTTATAGTTAATAATAATAATAATAATTAATTATTATTATTTTTTTCTAAAAATAAATTAAACTAAATTTTTTTATGATAAAAGGGATAATTTTAGTTTTTTTTAAGTTTAAAATACTAGATTTATTTTTTGATAAAAAATAAATTTTTAATACCAAATCACATAAAATTAATAATAATAATAATAACTATTATATATATATATAAAAAAATAATTTTTTCATTTAAAATTCAAACTAATTAATTTTTAATTGTTTTTTTTTCTCTCTAACCCCTACCCCTACCATCCCTACCCCTACCAACCTATAGGATCGAGAAACCTGAACACCCAGTGGTTGTACATAAAAAACATCACGCAATTCCCATTACACACAATATCCCAGGTAATTATTTTTAATAATTAATTAATTAATTAATTATTAAATATTTATTTATTTTTTTTAAATCATCATTGAAGTACATGAGCCGTACGCCGATCCCTATCCGGTAATGCAAGAGCCCAGCTATGTTGACGGCGGCTACTCGGAGGGCGGTTACGGTGGTGGCGGCGGCGGATACGGTGGCGGCGGTAACGGTGGCGGCTATGGAGGCGGTTATGGCGGTGAGGGTAGTTACTAAAAATAAAAAAATCATAATTATAATACCCTACCAGTGTGTGTGTGTGTGTGTGTGCCTAACAAACACACCATATATATATATATATAATACTCTATATATACCTGAGCTAGAGTAGCCTGTAGTAGCCATCCATCTATCCATCCATCCATCCATCTATACATCCACAATATATATATATATTATATTAGTTATCATTGCATCCGCCATCGTTGTAATCATATATCATCATCTATACTATTATTATTTTTTAGTTTTATTTTTTTTTATTTTAAAACAATATTGATACTATAAACAAAAAAAATCTAACTGTCCATTATATATATTATACTAAATTTTTACTAATTTTATATATATATATATATATATATAATTAATCATCCATGATCATTTTATTATAAATAAGATTTAGAGTTAGTGTTGTTAATGTTATGTTTAAGTGATGTTTTAGTTTTGTCTTTTTAAAAAATTGTTTGTTTTGAAAGTTATTATAATTTTTTTGTTAATTAGTATTTCACATCACATTTGTTTTTTTGTTGGTTTTTAGTAATCATACATTTCCTATAAGTGCCAAAATTTTTGTTGTGTCCCATATTTTTTTATTAATAAAATAATAGAGAGATAGGGCGCCCACTATTTACATACACACATACATCAGGTTTTTTTTTGGGGGGGGGGGGGGTAGTGGGTAGGTGTGGGCTATTACTACATGTTTGTTATTACCTATTAATTAGGTAAACCTTAGGGTTATCATCATCAGGTGCTTGACATTTAACATTACATACATACACACACACAYACATACATACATACATACATACATACATACAATCATTAAAATACAGGGTCTACTAACTGTCCAATACTTAGAAACTAGATATTAATAGATATATATATATTTATTTATATACCTGTCCTCCAAAAATATATTTTAATAAGTTTTAATAATAATAATTATATATTTTTTTCACAATATTTTTAATTTGTTGTTATTTTGTTTTGTTTAAATTTGTTGATTTTTTTTTTGAAAAATATTTTAATTATTATTATTATTATTTACCAGTTCCTATTTAAAAAAAAATTTAAATAATTTACCCCCCTCCACACTCATACACAATCAATCCCCCTTTACTAAATTATTGAAATTGTTTATCTAGTTTAATTTTTTAAATTTATTATAAATTAATTATTAATATTTATTTGTTTTTTAATTATTATTATTATTATTATTTTATTAATTACTATTAATTCCAGTCATTTAAAGAAAGTTAAAAAAAATTGTTCATAAAATTAATCTCTAAATTATTGTTTACGAAAAAAAAATTAAATTAATTTTTTTTTTAAAAGTATAATCTCCTATAATGAGCTGCATTTACTACTTAATAATAATAAATAATAATAATTATATTATTATTATTTAATTATTATTATTAGCCAAAACACACGTACAGATACATACAATCACACACAAATAGTTTCCATATATATATATTTATATATAAATCATACATTATTTTTATTAGTTAACAAAAATTTGTAATTAATTGTTTAGTTAATTAATTATGTATTTTTTTAAATTGTTAAAAATTTTTACACATTATTTCATATAAATATTTACTGTTTTTGTGTTTAAAATGTGTTACAAAAATCTTTATTTTTTTTTGTTATTGATTTTCTCAAATTGTTTGCTCAAAATTATTGTATTATTTTTTTTTATAAATATATTTGTTTTTTGTTGTTTTATTTTGTTGTTGTTATTGTGATTTCATATTTGTTGTTATTATAATTAAAATTACTTTTTTTTAAATTGTTATCAAAATTTGTAAATAATATGTTGTTTTATTTGTTTGTTTAATAAAATCATGATTTAATTTTCTAAAACATAATAATCTAGAGTTGATTTTTATTTCAAAATTAAGAAAATTTGAAATTAATTATTATTATTATTTTAAATCAAAATAAATAAATAAAATATTATTAACATATAATAGTTTTATAAAATATATAAGTTTAGTTTAAATACTGTTAATAAAATTAATTAATTAATTGGTTATTAAACATATATAATATTTATATATATATATATATATATATATATATATATATTTAAATTGCACTATAAAAAATTATTTTATAATATATATATATATTAAAAAACATATGTTAATATTTATTAATAATTTTTTTATAATAATAATAATAATAATCATATAACAATGATATTTATTTTATAGTATTAGTATTACAATATTTATTTTGTTTAATATCTTTAATATTTTTAGTTTTTTTTTAAATTAAACTAATAATATAGTGTTGTTGCCTATAAATAACATCAAAAAAAATAAATAAATAAAATAATCATTGATTAGAAATTTTGTTTAGTATTATATATAAAAAAATAAATCATATATATATATATATATATAATTATAGTATATAATATATATACTAGTATTTACCCCAAATGCAAACAATTCATACGGTAATGTTTGGCTACTTGTATGCCATTGATTGCTACGATAATCATATAATTCAATTGAATTTAAATCTAACCAAAAAAAAAAAAATAAAATAAAAATCATAAACAACAACAACAAAAATACATTAAATATTTTTTTTTAATTAATTAAAAAATAAAATATAGTTATATAATATTACATGGAAAACCACCTAGTGCATATAATAATTGATTATCACCATGGACAACTAGACGAAATTCAATGCGCTTTTCAATCATTGAACCTAAAAAATTATTAATTAATTTTTTTTAAAAAAAGTTATATAAATCTTATTATTAGTTTTTATCATATATTTAATAATTTAAATAATAATAATAACTACCAATTGGTGTCCATTGGTTAGCAATGGGATCGTATGTTTCACATGTATTATGACCGCCACCGCCACCGCCGCCGCAAACATATATTTTGTCCATAAATACTGTACAACCCATTGAATATCTATTATGTATATACCGTATGAAACCGCATAATCGATAAGTGTATTAAAAAAATATTTTTAATTATTAATCCCTAACCTCTTAGTATGCATACTGGCCATCGGTTTCCACTGTCGACTAACCAAATCATACCTTTCCACTGTATTCATGGCACCAGTAGTCGGATGATAGCCTCCTATAGCATACAACACAAGTCCATTGTGTACAACAAGTGCCAAATCTGTCTTATTTTCGCTTAAATTTGAACCAAAATACCAGTCATTAGTTTCTATAGAATAATGTTCGCAACTATTTAAATATTCGTCTATCAAAACAAAAAAAAATTTGTATTTAAAAATTTATTTTTAATTTATAATTTAATTAATTTAATAAATTTTATAATTATTTTTTAAAAATAAAATAAAATAATTATTATTAAAAATAATTACCCGATTTAGAGACATAACCGCCGCAAACAACAATAGTATTGTTAATTACAGCCGCGTTTGAGACTCTAATAAAGAAAATTAATTTTTTATATATATATAAAAAATTAATTAATAAATTTACAATATTTTTTTTAGATATATAATATTAATAAAATTGCTAAAAAATTATTCAATTAATTTAAGTTATTTAAAATATAAATATTTTATTTTATTTTTAAAAATAAATACTCTCTCATAATATTTAACGGTTTCATTGGTTGCCAACTATTTGTTTGCGGATCATATGATTCAACTGTATTTGTTTCGCCATAAATCTGTTATTTATTTAGATATTTATTTTAATTTAATCAGCATTTTATTAAAATGTATAAAAAAAATTATGTTAATTATTTGGTTTATTAAAAAAAATAATTAAATAAAATATATATATATTTCAATACATTATGTCCGCCAATAGCATAGAGTTTGCTATCAAATGATATGAAACCAAACCGGTCGCGTCCAATGGACAGGGATTTTATGGGTAACCAATTATTATTATTATTACCCGAACCATTATTATCAATAAAATTATTATTATTATTATTATATTTCCAACATTGTTGTAGATATGCCTTATCTACAGTATCGCCACCACATATGTATATAATACTGTTATTATTATTATTATTATTAGTGATATTTTGTGATAACTAATAAAATAGTTTATAATAAGAAAAATTAATTTTTTTAAAACAAAATTTTTTTATTTTAAATAAAAATATCATTTATAATAACTTATACTGTAATTACATTATCTATGGATGCTATTAATATTGATACTATTAAATAGCATATAGTAATTGTTGTTTTAATAAAAAACAATAAATAATAAATATTTTTATTAAACATAATTAATAATTTGATTTAATTAAAAATTAATAAACAAAAAAAAATTTAGTTACTAATTACTTAAATGTAATTTTTTAAATTTTGTTTCATAAAAAAATAAATAAACATTAAATATTTGTATTTATTTTATAAATATTATTATACATTTTTTTCTTAAGATTAAAATGATTTACGAGTGTTTAACTATTTATTGATATATTTTTTATTTTATTTACAATCCAATGTTCAAGTGGTTAGTTATACTTAAATACTGATATTATTAATATTTAAAAAAAAAATTATTTAACAATTAATTAATTTTGTATTGTAAAATAAATTTATAGTTCAATAGTTCAATATAAATGCCAATAGATGTGTCGCAAATTGACTGCAATAAAATATTTATCAATAATAATAATAATTAAATAATTTATATAATAATAATATTTTTTAAAAATTAAATTAAATTATTATTATTATTATAACAGCTATGCTTAGTATTCAAAAAAAATATTCACAAATTATTGCTTAATTTATTTAATTTATAATAATATTATATGAATATGAAAAAAATAATTAATTCTTTAAATTCATGAAAATTTATTAATTAAATAATAATTATTTGCTAATAATAATAATAATAATAACTTTAATAATTAAATTATAATAGAAACACAATTACAATTATAAAAAAACATATATTAAAACTACAACATTTAAAATTATATTTTTATAATTTTTGTAATATTTTAAAATTAATTACTATTAATTAAAATTAATTAATTATTTATTTTTTATGGGCAATAAATTTACGTTTTAGTTCAATATAGATACCAATAGATGCATCACAAATTGCCTGCAATTAAATTTTTAAAATAAATTAATTATTAATTAATTTATAAAATAATAATTATTTTTTTATAAAAACAAATTAAATTTTTATTATTTTAATTATAACATCTATACATACATATGAAGTTTTTTCGTCTAACGGCACCTCATTGTCGCTCATAATAATGATAAACATAACAATCAAATGATAGGCTATTATGAAAAATTTGCATTCATTTAGCACCGAATCCACTGAATTGACCGATCGTTTTGACCACTTTTGGTCATCATTGCCGTCGCCGACGTCGCCGTCGCAAAGTCGACCACTTTCGCCGATATAGTCGGCAATAAATCGGCGCATTAGTTGATCATCGGGAAAATCTATCGGCGATTTACGGACAAACTCACTGAATAGTAGACCTAAATCCAGACCACGACTGCCATAGGATGAGTGATCAAAATCGCTTAACAATAGACTACCTGTGCTATCATTGGTTACCCATATGTTTCCGCATCGGAAGTCTGCATGGGTTAAGACAAACCTGTCAGCAGTGGTGGTGTCGGTGTCGGTGTCGGTGTCGACACCAGTAGTATGAGAGGACATATAGGTTTCCAATGACTCAATCAGCCAATTCATCTCCAATTTTAAATCAATTGATTGAAAGTTTAGACAATTATATTCATTGAACTTTTCTATCAGTTCAGACTCCCTGTCCACTAGTTTAGCCAAACCATCCGTACAAAAGTCAAGTATCCAATCGCTATGTTTACTAATGGGTGCATCCAATTGGTGAAACTGTGCCAACATTTTAGCTAACTTTCCCACCAATTGCTTGTCTGTCATATCATTTTCAGTGAAATGTCGGTGCTTTTCATACATACCATTAGAGTAAACATAAAAAAAAGATAATTTATTCAATAAATTATTAAAAAATACTATTTATATATATATAGTGTATATAACATTGAATATAACATAAATAAATAATTAATTAATTTTTTGTCATATTTAAGCTGGGTCATAATTAATTTTTTTTAACGGTTAGATATGTATTATTTAGATCAATAATTTTTGTAATAATGCTATTATATATATACAGTATATATACAGTATATATACAGTATATATATACAGTATATATACAGTATATATACAGTATATATACAGTATATATACAGTATATATAGAATATATACTGTATATATTATATACAGTATATATAGAGTATATACTGTATATACAGTACAATTACCGGATAGTATTGCAACACTTGACCCTCAGGGCATATCCCGTAGATTTTCGGTCCCAAACCTAACTGGCCTAACAATGGGGCCATAATATAGTCTTTGTGGACATCCTGGTGATGGCCTATACAAAATCGTTTAGCATTCAAACGTATAACCAGTTTAGTTGGACAGTCGGTATCATCGGCTAAGTCATCGTTGTTGGCCAACAATTGGCACAAATAGATTTTGTTGGTCAGACCGCCGGTCAATCGTTTGACCAGAATATTGTTGTCGACCGATTGGACCGAAGTTGTCGACCAAATACCGCCAACAAACTGGCGACACATTCGTAGACACAGTTGTCTAACATTTTCGGGATCCGTGCCTTTGATTTGCGTGGTTGTAGTCTTCATGTAATCGCCGAGACCTCCGGTGGCCGCGTCGTCAGCGCCGCCGGTGCTCTCATTTGAGGACATTTTTATTAATTTGTTTGTTTGTTTGACTAATTAAATAATTAATTAAAAAAAACATAAGTTGTTATTAATAGTATTGATTTAAAAAAAACAGATTTTTTTTTGTTGTTGTAAAATATCTTATTTTTTTTTATTTTATTACATTTACTAATTAAATACAAAAAAAAAATAAAAGTTAGTTAATTAATGTGTAATTTTTTAATAACTATTAAATAACACTAAAATAATTATAGGTATCAAATAGTTTATACAATATTTTTTTTTTAATTATTTGTAATATATTAATAATAATTATATTAAATGAATTTATTTGTTTGATTTGAATTTTATTTATTAATTATTTATTTTATTATTATTTTTGTAACAATAAATTTACGTTTGAGTTCAATATAGACACCAATCGATGCCTCACAAAGTTACTGAAAAAAAATAAATAATTATTACTAATTAATTAATTAATTAATAATTAATTTTTATTATAATAATAACAACAAAAAAATAAATTATCATTATTATTATAATCTATACATACATCCGTTTTCTAATAATTAATTAATTATAATTATAATTAATATGTAATTAAAGATTTTTATTATTATTATATAAAATGATTATTTATTATTTAATAAAATGATTATTTATTATTTAATAAAATGATTATTTATTATTTAATAAAATGATTATTTATTATTTAATAAAATGATTTTTATTATTAAAAAATATATATTTTTGTCGTAAAATAATAATAATAATAATAATATTTTATGTAAAGTATAAAAAATATATAATAATGAAAATTTTCTTTTAAGAGATTAATTTTTTTATTAAAAAAATAAAATAAAAACATTTTCCATTAGTTATGAATGCATGAAATAATTATATATACAATACTATATATATTAATTTAATATCAAAATAAACTAAAAATTTAGTTTTAAATTAATATTTAAGATTTTTTTTAGAAAAAAATATTTAAGTTTAACTGAATAGACACATAAAATACTAATATATATATAAATATAATAATGTTATTATTTTACAATTTTAATGATAAGTAACAAATAAAATAGTGTAAATTTATAATAATATTGTATAAAAATTTAGTAATTAAATTTAAATATACAAAAAAAAAATTAATAAGATTGTCATTATTTATATATAAATTTATATAAATTTTATAAATAAATATGTTTTAAAATCTTTATACGATTTATTTTTGTTGTAGTCTAAAATCTTATTTTGTTGAGAGTTTGAATGTTTAAACATATATATATATATATATATATATATGATATAAATTTTAACACAAGTATGTATATATATATATAAATATCATATATTGTTATTAATATAGGCTTATATTAGATAACAAAAAAAATATTTTAATAATAACTGTTAAAAATAACTTAATTATTTAATGTGTAATAATATATATTTTTTTATATATAAAGTTTAGTTATTAAAAACTACTAAATATAAATATTATATTATATTACTTATTCATATTTATAGATAAATTGATTTATTATATAAAAAAAATATTAAATAGTATAGTGTATTATATATTAATAATTAAAAATAAATTACTAATAAAATTTAATTGTATATTTATATTACACTATATAAGCATATTTTATATCTAATATAAAACGATTATATATTATTATTTATTTATTATTATTATTATTATTAAAAAATTACTATTTGCTAAAATAATAAATTATTTATTTACTAGATAATTTTATCTATAATTTTATTTGATTTAATTAATTAAGTTAAAATAAATACATAAATTAGAATTTAAATAATTTAATTTATAATACTATATAATATAAATATACTAATAACTAATAAGTTTTATTATAGAGATTCAATTTATTTTATAAAAATTTTATATTTAAAAAATTAATAATTAATATTTATTTTTTATAAAATAATTATTATTTATAACATATATATTATATTAATAATAATAAGATCTAGAATATACTAGAATATATTTTTTTTTGCAATTAATTATTATTTAAATAATTTATAGATTTGTATTTTTTAATAATCAATAAATACAAGTAATACATATTTTTTTGCAATAATAAATTATTTTCATAGTAATAATATTATTGCATTATATATATATTATTATTATGATTAATATTTTGCGTGTATTAATTAACAACAAAAAAAAACACATTAACATTTATGTAAAGTATAATGAATTAGTTATTTAAAAATAATAATCTAATAAATATATTTTTATATATAAATATATCACAAAAACTTATTAATTAAATTATCTTAAAAATAATCATAAAGTTTTACCTAACTTTTACTAATATGTTTAATTAATAATTAATTTATAGTATAAAATTATATTTAAAAAATATATTTGATTATAAATTAATATAGATATAAATTAAGTTTTTAAATATTAAAGTTTAAATAATAGTTATTTAATATAATTTTACCATAAAAAGTAATTTCTTAATAAAATATTTAATTATATTTTTTTATATAAATCTAGTTAACAAATTAATTATAAAATTAATTAAATAAATAGTATTAAAAAATAAATAGTATAATTAAACTATATTTTAAATATAATTTTATTTGAATTATGTCATCAATAATCAGATCAATGATAAAGATTTATAAAAGTTATCAATCATTTGAATCAGTAATCATTATATCCGATAAAATTCGTAACAAATACTAAATAACTATTTATGAATCAATAGACGACTATCTAAGGGGACAGTTGTCTACTAAACGTATAGTATTGGTACTGTTGTCACATATATTGGTTTTGATTAATGGTATTAAATTTACAACAATAGGTCTAATCAATAAAGTAATAAAGTTTGTAAATTTTTTTTATGTAATTTAATTTTTAGTATATTGTTTAATATGTCTATAGCTATGGGTTAGGGATCTATTGGGAGATCCATCCTATCTGATTGATACAACATTTCTATTTCCATCGCTTATGAGTATCGCATCGTTTGGCATAACTTTAGGATTTTGTTTAAGTAGTTATCATGAATACAGACATACACTGTATTACTGGGATATGTTATCGCAAATCAATAGTCAAACACTACAACATCCAATACAACCGAAACAATTGAAACGGTTATCATTGAAATTAAATCTAATTTATATATATCTAACATATATGTCGTATTTAACTTTGTTGGTATGCAATACTGTCTATATTTATGTGTATTACTGGGCACTGGTAACTGATTTTTTTATACCAATACCTATCGTTGGCTAATAACAATAATTATAAATCTATTATTAAGTATAATATTTATATTTATATCATAGGGTACAATTATTTCAATATTTATGTTTTATTATTCCTATTCAAGTATAGTTAAAATAATATTCAATGAACTAAATTGAAATAAAATAATTATTATAATAAATAAATTGTATAATATAACTATATTTAAATTATGTCATCAATAATCAGATCAATGAAAAAGATTTATAAAAGTTATCAATCATTTGATTCAGTGATCAATATATGCAATAAAATTCGTAACAAATACTATATAACTATTTATGATTCAATAGACGACTATCTAAGGGGACAGTTGTCTAATAAACGTATAGTTTTGGTACTGTTGTGACAGCTATTGATTTTGATTAATGGCATCAAATTTACAACAATAAGTCTAATCAATGAAGTAATAAAGATTGTAAATATTTTTTTTGTAATTTAATTTTTATTATATAATGCTTAATATGTCTATAGCTATGGGTTAGGGATCTATTGGGTGATCCATCCTATCTATTGGATACAACATTCCTATTTCCATTGCTTATGAGTATCGGATCGTTTGGCATAACTTTAGGATTTTGTCTAAATAGTTATCATGAATACAAACATACTCTATATTACTGGGATATGTTATCGCAAATCAATAGTCAAACATTTCCCCATTCAATACAACCAAAACAATTGAAACGGTTATCATTGAAATTAAATCTAATTTATATATATATCTAACATATATGTCGTATTTAACTTTGTTGGTATGCAATACTGTCTATATTTATGTGTATTACTGGGCACTGGTAACTGATTTTGATACCAATACCTATCGATGGCTAATAACAATAATTATTAATTTATTATTAAGTATAACATTTATATTCAATTCAATGGGTACAGTAAATACAACATTTATGATTTGTTATTCCTATTCAAGTTTAGTTAAAATGATATTCAATGAAATAAATGATAGAATTATTAAAATAATTAAAAATTATCGATCAAATAAATGGCAAACTATTTATCCGAAAAAATTGTTAATAGTAATCAGTAAACACAATAGGTTTACTAAATTGGTTATGAATTGCAATAGATTTTTCAATAGTCTAACATTTCTATTATATTTTATGTCAACTCCATGTATACTAATTGAAATGTTTAATATATTTAATGAAAATAACTTAATTATTGGTAAAATCACTTATTTATTTTTATTTATCTCAATATATTCATTATCGCTTTCTATAAACTCAATGAGCACTTGGATCAGTATATCAGCTCATTTACCATTAAATTAATTATACAGTTATCTGGCCAGACATCAGACAATGTATATACAAATGCGCCTAAAATTGCTTATATATGTCGAGCGACTGTCGGGACCAACAATTGGTATCTATTGTTACGATTTGTTTCCAATAAATAGTTTTGAATTATTTCAATACTATTATATTTGCGGTCAATTAATGTTCACTTTAGCCTCATTTGTCTAAATACTGTTTATATAATTTACCTAAAAAAATAATGTTATAATAATTAATATAGTTTTTATAGATATAATATAATATAATATAATATAGTTATAGTTAATACATTATTATAGAAAATTTTATATTTAAAAAATTTACAATCAATATTTATTTAATAAAATAATTATTATTTATAACATAACTATTATATAAATAATTATAATAAGATCTATAGTTGTATATAATTTTTATAATTAATTAATATTTAAATAATTTATAGATTTTTTTTTTGAATTACCAAATCATAA